AAAAAAAAAGGTACTGAGCCACATGGCTAACATAGATCAGAAAAATGTGTTAATCAAGATGTGAGAGTTAGCCAGTGAGGGGCTAGAGCTAATGGGCCAATCAGCTTATAATTTATGGAGACCTATGTGTGATTTTCTTTGGGGCTAAACAGTTGTGGGGTACCGGGCAGGACAAAAACATCAACAAACAAGCAGGCCTGGCCCCTCCTTGTTACAAATCTAAAGAAAGAAGACTTTGCCGACAGACTGTTGTAAGTAGAAGGGTAGAGAAAAGCTCATAGAGGAGGTAGTACCTCTTGGGCGGCAGAGGCTGTGGATCTCTGAGCTCAAGGCCAGCCCGGTCTATGTAGCAAGTTCCAGGCCAACCAAGGCTGCGTAGTGACACCTGTCTCAAAACAAAACCTCCCGGAGCCTTATAGAATAGAAGGATCTGGGCCACAGCAAGGGAGTGTTTCTTCCCCAGACTGTGAGTCAGGCTTATCCAGCATTTCCTCCCTAAGAACCCTGCTGCCTCAGCCTCTGAAGTGCTGGGATTCTAGCTGAGCCACTATGCGCTTGACAACGGGCTCTGAAAGCTAGAAAAAGCATCTGGAGCCGGGCGGTGGTGGCGCACGCCTTTAATCCCAGCACTTGGGAGGCAGAGGTAGGCGGATCTCTGTGAGTTCGAGACCAGCCTGGTCTACAAGAGCTAGTTCCAGGACAGGCTCCAAAACCACATAGAAACCCTGCCTCGAAAAACCAAAAAAAAAAAAAAAAAAAAAGCATCTGGAGTTAAGTAGGGTCCCTAGGAAAACCAAAGTCAGCCTGCAGAGTTTGTAAGGTGAGAAGCCACTTCTGAAAATGAGAGCAACCACTTCCCTGGTCGGAAGGAGTCTCTCCTTTTCCTGTTATGCTCCCTCCCCAATAATACATAATTATAATCCCCTAACTGCTGGATCATTTCAGCCAATCCTGTTTGGTGCTCAGCCATAGAGAAATCTTGTATAATTGGGCTCTGTAGGCAGGATTTCCTAGTCAAGCCCTGTTTCGTTAGCTGGAGCGGGAGAAGTACTTCTGTGTGTTTCTCAGGGCCACAAGGTTCCATCCTCTGACTGGCTCCTCTGATGGGGGTTCACGACCCTGTCTGTAGTTGTTGGGGTGCTCCCCTGGCCAGTGGCCCTGTGTGAGTATTAGAGGAACACACCTTTTAAACAGAGGCACTAAGTGGTCCCAGGGACTCCAAATCTAATCCGTCTCTCTTGAGATTCAGTTCCCATGGATAATGATCTGTTACTTAAAGCAATAATCATGAGATAGACTGAGGCCATTGGAGCCATGTTCTTGATTAGACAGTGATGCTTAACAGAGTTTTATTTAGCTTGGCCTGGCTTGGGCATCTTTAAAGTGTGAGAGGAAGTCAGTAGAGGAAGAGATGGAAAAGCTTAAGACAAAGCGCTGAAGTGGTGAAGACTGACAGACGTGAGAGGGGGCAGAGAGAATGTTTTCAGGCGTTGTGACAAGCGCGCCTCTGCTCTGTGTGTGTGCGTGTCTGTATTTGTACACTGTGCCTGTGTGACTGTCTCTCTGCAGTGTGTATATATCTGTGTGTCTTGTATCTGTATCTCTTTGTGTGTATGTGTGTGGGTATCTGTGTGTCTGTATTTGTGGACCTGTATATATGTACGCCTGTACATATATACGTGTGTGTACATACGTGTGTGTGTCTTGGTGTCTGTCTCTGGACGTATGTGTCTCTGTGTGCCTGTTTTTAGTCTTGTCAAGGAAAAGCAGCAATCTGAAAGTGGCATTTGAAATACATTTTTAGATATTGGATTTTTGAAAATATTTAAAAGCCAAGTACTATATACATTGCTTGTTGTTACTGCCCCCTTGTGGTCCAGTCTGTAGTTTGGGGCAGGATTCTGTCAAGGCAAGTGGGTTTTGTAAAAAGAAAGGTAAATAGTGCCCTCTTCTGATACTGTGAGGTATGTGCAAGCAAAGGCAAAAGGTGCTGTTTATTAGAGTAGCAGTAAGTCTTTTAATTTTTTTATTTTAATTTTTTAAAAATTGCTTAATAATTACTGGTTATTTTGATGCACAGATGAACACTTTTGTAGACATTACTTGGAATGGTTGTAGTTTTATGAAGCCAGCTGCCTTTTTCACACATGTGTGTGGTACGGTTGCCTTTGATCTGTGATAGGAGAACCGCAAGCTGAAGAGCCTGTTGTGTGACTGCCTCTGTGATGCAGGACTGGGTTGAGGCCTTTGCTCACAGCCAATCTGATTCTTACAGCTGTATTCCGGACTGGTTGCTGCTTAGTGATTTACCAATAAGAGACTTTGTAAGAAGAAAACAAAAAGGAACTTAGATATTATGGGAAAGTAACACATTTTTCATACTAATTTCTTAAAAAGGGAATACAATCCTATTGCCCTCAGTGAACAGCTGGTACTGCAGGTGCATACCCATCCCTTTGACTCCCAGTCAGAACCACTGTGTTCTTTACATTGTTTGTGGGGCACACGGGCGGGGCCACTTCAGAGATGCCTGTGGTGGCCTGTGCCTTTAAGTCACCTTATGTTCCAGTACACACGATAGCCAGACTGCAGATGGTGTTAGACCTGGGGAAGGATACATGCCCAGGAGCAGGCGGCAGTTACTCATTCGGAAAGGGAAGTGTTCGGGCTGTTCTTTTAAACAGAGCGATCTTGGGATTGGAGAATTGAAGGTCGCGACAGCTGAAGAAGGCAGCTGTCAGTGCTGCCCCAGAGGTTCTTTATGATAGAGAATACTACACCTAGGTGAGAGCCCGGCATGTTCCCTCAGCTCCCGGTTGGCAGGTACTTCTACCTCTTTTTGATGATGTGTCAGGCATTGCACAAAGTCCTGAAAAGACAACATGGGAGTTGTGGCTCCATCTTAGCTGGCTTATGGGGAGGGAGGGAAGGAGGGAGGGAGGGAGGGAGGGAGGGAGGGAGGGAGGGAGAGGACCAGAGACCTTCTGTGGGGACTCTAGGAGTGGCGTCTGCTGAGTCAACCTTAAACCTGCTCTGCTAGTCCAGTCGAGCTTGTCAGCTGGTTATAAGCACCGCCCTGGAGGCTGACTGGGCCCAGGTTCTATGTCTGCAAACAGAGCTCCGTGGCGGTGTTCAGAGGACCTCTATATCTAGACCCTTTTTCTTTGGAGCAAAAGATTTTGGTTACTGATTCAGTTGTTGTTGGGTATGCAGTGTTGGAAATGAACCCTCATATATGCTGGACAAATACTTCACTATATTGGTTCAGAACTGTGTGTGTGTCTTGCTTTTTTTATTAACTTCTTAGGGAAGTTTCTTTGTCTTTTTTGTTGTTGTTTTGTTTTTCAAGACAGGGTTTCTTTGTGTAACAGCCCTGGTTGTCCTGGAACCCTATTTGTAGACCAGGCTGGCCTCAAACTCACAGAGATCCGCCTGCCTCTTCCTCCCAAGTTACCTTTTTATTGCTGTGACAAGGAACACTTATCACATGACCAAAGCAATTTATAGAAGAGTTACTGGGGCTTATGGTTTCAGAGGATGAGTTATAACTTCCTTGGAAGAATGGCATCAGGAAAGCAGGCATAGGGCTGGAGCAGTAGCTGAACATTGCAGCCTGTCCTCCAGGAACTGGAAATGGCATGGGCTTTTGAAATCATGCACTTCCCCCAAATCCTCCCCAAACAGGTCTACTATCTGGGGACTAAGAATTCAAACATGTTACCTAGTCTATGTGGCTAGGTAGCATACAAAGTAATAGCTTCTTCATACATAGGTATCGTACAGTGTGCTAATTCTTTCCCCTCATTTCTTTCTGATGCTTCCTCCTCCAGCAATTCCCTTTCCCCCACCGGTTCTGATTTCATTATTTAAAATATTCACGCGTAGCCAGGTTGCTCACGGCTATAGTCCTAGACTTGGGAGGCCAGTGCGGGAGGATTGCCACATGTTCAAGCCTAGGTACTTACTGAGTTCCAGCTCAGCCTGGGTTAGTGTGAAACCTGTCTAGGACAAAAATTTTCGAATGGTTTATTAATTTTGTTCAACTTTGCTGCATCTTCTGGCATTATTTTTGTTATGTTATTTATATTTTTCTAAAAACTTGTTCATTTCAAATATATTGCCATAAAGTCATTGTATTTTTCCTAACCACTACCCAGTGCTTCCGTGTTAATGTTTGTTGTTGTCTCCTCTCCTGTGTTCATGGTCAGGTTTGCTGAGGCTTCTGTTTTAAGTTTCTAAAGACAGAGCTCTGGATATTGCTGGGTTTTCCTGCACCTGTTGCTCTGTTCCCATTAGTGCTAGGGCTTTGTGAGCTCTTTAGGCCTAACTTAGTGTAAACCTCAAGTTTGAGCCTCTTTAATGACTCAGCGTAGTTTCGTGTTTTTTTCAGCCTTGCATTTAAGGCTGTAAATCCCCCTCTAAAAGATATGCTAGTTGTATCCTACAAGTTTTGTTTTTCCACTCTGAATATTCTGCATTTTCATTTTTAATTCTTCCTCAACCCAAATTATGCATTAAAATACCCTTTCAGATTTCTTCCTCATCCCTCCTCCTCTCCTTTTCCCTCCTTCTCTCCTTTTCTTCTTCCTGCTCCCCCTTTTGAAAGTAGGGTCTCATTCTCGTCCAGGTTGGCCTAGAGGTCAACCTTGTAGCCCAGGTAGCTGTGATGATGTTTTTGAAAATATAGTTCTTCTCTTCTTGGATGAAGTAGAAACGATACTACTTCAGACCATGTTGAGTGGGAAAAAACGCTTCCAAAATTCTGTGTATGCTCCAATAGCTAGCTTCTCACAGAGCTGGTAAATAACAACGCTTAAATTCAAATCCGGGCAGGTCTGTCTAAATCTGCCTGCCTCTGCCTCCTGAATGCTGGGATTAAAGGTATGCAACACCATCTTCTGGCTTGAGAACTTCCTCTTAAAGACCGTATCTCTCAGTTACTCGGATCCTTCAGATAGTTCTACTTATGGACATTTACTTCTTTATCTCCTGGTTTTCAGTGTGACAAATACAAGACCGGAGTTATTGACGGACCTGCGTGCAACAGTCTCTGTGTCACAGAAACACTGTACTTTGGAAAATGCTTGTCCACCAAGCCCAACAACCAGGTATGGACAGAAATAAGCACTCCAGAATGTCAGTAGGTCCAATCACATCATCATTAATTACTGTTTTTCCTACAGAGTCTCATGTGGCCCAGACTGGCCTCCGACTCTCTCTGTGGCTGTAGCTTTTCTTAATCCGTCTGTCTCCAACTCCTAAGGGCTGTCTCCACAGTCGTGTGCCACTGTACCTCGCTAGTGAACTCAAAATTCCCTTAAACTAAAAGCATCATTAAAAAATTCTGAAGCACCAGGTGTTAGTGGTGCAAGCCTTTAATCCCAGCACTCAGGAGGCAGAGGCAGGAGGGTCTCTGTGATTTCGAGGTCTGCCTGATCTACAAGAGCTAATTCCAGGACAGCCAACACTACCAAGAAACCCTGTCAGAAAAAACAAAACAAAAAGTCTTGAAGCTTGTGCATGGTGTGCACGTATCAGGAAGGATTTCAAGTTCAAACCCAGCTTGGTATACATAGCAAATTCCAGGTCAGACAGGACTACATAGCAAGCTCCTGTCCAGTTTTCAGTAGGTATTTGTTTAGGAAGGCACTCAGGGACTGAGACGGAGGATCGCTGCACGATTAATGTCAGCCTGAACTACCTGAAAAGACCCTGGCACAGTGGAACAGACAGAGACTTGTGAATCCCTTCCCCAGCGTCTTAGAGGAGTGCTGTGTGATAGACAGCTGTCCTTAAGCAACCAGCATTACCCGGACGGGTGGGAGACACATAGCTCATAGATGAGCAAATAAATAATAAAATCATTATAAATGTACTTTCTATCTGGGAAAAGCACAAGGTGAAATAGCAAAGGAGGTGGAGACAGATGTGCTTGGGAGCTGGTACGCACCGTCTGGGGGTGTGGCTCAGATGGTAGAGCGTTTGCCTACCCTGCGCAACGCCCTGAGTTCTCTCCATGACGCGGCAGATTCCTGTACTCTCAACTCTCAAGGGGTGGAGCCAGGCGGACCAGAAGTTTAAGGTTACCTTGTTGGACTAGAAGTCCAAACATCAAGGGAGGAGTTGCGCCAGACACCACTCACAGCTGCAATTGATGCAAAAGCAAGAGGATTTTTATTCTGTCATGACAGGGTCCTTCAGGTTCGGGATATGAAGGACATGAATAGCTGTTACAGCCCATCTTTTAAAGCGAAAAGCCACAAACACAAGGGGGGGACCTGTAGGTTGTTGGCTTATTCAAAGGGTTACTAGCAATGATTGGTCTATTCCAGGGCAGGAGAATAGCTGCGTGGTCAGGTGATAAGGGAGAGCATCTGTGGTCCATCCTGACCTTTGGTTCAGTGACTAAATCAATACATCAGGAACTAAGTCAACATCTGTGGGTTGTCTTTGCCTCAATTCCCAGAATGGAGTTATGTTTGAGATTATTCACAAGGAGGATAAGCAGTCCAGCATGTGTGTGCGTGTGGGCGACTGTCCCTTTTCCAAGAGAGAGTGAGTGTAAGGTTTTTGAAAACTGTCTTAGGGTTGAGGGGGCTTACAAATGCATTTAGTCTTTCAACCTTTGTCTACATAGCCAGCTTGAGGCCAGCTTCAGACTCATGAGTTCTTGTCTCAAAAATGAATGAATGGGTCAGCACCATAAATCAAGCTGGTATTCAGGGAAAGTTTTTAAAGATAACATTTGAGCTCATACTTCAAGAGGAATGAAACTGTAGGCATAGGAGAATGAACTAAATCGCAAGTAAACCACAAAAAGCTGATAAATACGATGCAGAAGAACTTATCATTAAAACAATATCAAGAAAAAAACAAGATTATTGCAGTTTTCCTGGATGAGGTTCAGGACAAATGACTGGGTAATGAGTCAGCCTGCCTGCCAGACTTCAGTCTTGAGGTTTGGCTTTTTTTATAATCCCCAATGAAGGACTTCCACCTGGTGTAACTGAAAGTCCATCTGTCTGGAGTTCCGAATATGATTGGGTATATTTTGATATGCCATTACTTATTGGCACAGAAAAACACGATCCGTCAGTTTGTGCCCCTTGGAGTGCTGCGGATGGTGGTGGCCAGCAATCTGTGGGGGCTCAGAGTAAGGCCTTATAAGATGGGGTAATCCGGGGTAGGCACAGCCTGAGCTCCCCAGGGCCGCTGTCTACCTTACAGTGAAATCCACAACCAGAGTCCCAAGGCCTCAGCTGCTTTAGGGAAGGAGACTTCAGGGGCCTTCTGTTAAAACAAAGTTCAACTTCCAGGGGTGTGTGTTGAAACACACCTTTAATTCTGTGAGTCCAAGGTCAGCCTAGTCTGTGTAGCAGGTTCCAGGACAGCCAGAGCTACAGAACAGAGAAGCCCTGTCTCAGAAAACAAACTAAGTTCAGGTGTTGTGGCACACAGCTGCAATCCCAGCACGAGGGAGGCAAAGGCAGAGTTTAAGCCCAGCTTGGTTCACAGAGCCCATGAACGAAAATCTATAACGAAAATCCCCGTCTTAGAAAGGAAAATAAAACAACAAAAAATAACAAAAAAATAATTCCCATCCCAAATGGAGAAATGGGACAGAAAGATGAGACTGGACATGATCAGAGTTAAGGCCCACAGCTCCTGAATGTGGCGTTCAGGCTCCTAAGAGCTCCAGCAGGCTCAACCCTGGGAGTCGCTGAAGACTCTTGTGCTGCCTGTGATACCCTCGGCGCACATTCCTTGTTCCTCACACCCTCTTCTAGTTTCTTTTGCAGGTGACTTTACTCCAAGCTTAATAACCATTTTTGCATTTAACACACCGTTTAGCCTTGCATAATGTAGTAAATACTATATAATGTTAATTTGATACATACCAACAGCCTGAACAGCTTAGAGAGATTCTAAATCTTAGCTGCACTGTTTTTGTTTGATTTTTGATTTTTTAAGACAGGGTTTCTCCTGGCTGTCCTGGAACTAGCTCTTGTAGACCAGACCTGCCTCTGCCTCCTGAGTGCTGGGATTAAAGGTGTGCGCCAACACTGCCAAACTGCATTGTGTTCATCTTTTAAAAGTCTTTTAAGGAAAAAGCCTTGGGAATACTTCAGATTCGCATTCAGAAATGAAGTCAGGAGCGGGTGTGCTGGTGCGTGCGTAGGAATGAAGTCGGGAGCGGGTGTGCTGGTGCGTGCATAGCATTCAGGGAATTAAGGCCAGAGGATTTGAGACCAGCCTGGACTACAAAGTGACACTATCTCAAAAGGTAAAAATAAAGTCACTGATCTAGTTCAGTGGCTCAGTGCTTGCTTGTGTTGTGTAGAGGAGACCCTGAAAATATGCAGCTGTCCACTTTGTACCATATGATATGTAATGCAATTTGCCATTCTTTTTCACAAAGATGTATTTAGGAATTTGGGATAATCTACCAGGTCTTGTGAAATGTCAAATGGAACAAGCTCTTCATCTTGACTTTGGAACTGAATTGGAGCCAAGAAAAGAAGTAGTGCTGTTTGATAAACCAACCAGGGGAACTACTGTGCAGAAATTCAAAGAAATGGTCTACAGTCTCTTTAAGGTGAGTGTGTCTAGTCCTGCACCTGCAGTGTGAAGCTGGGTTCACACAGAGGAACCCACAGGACACTGCCTTAACTCGCCGTATTGTCGGCATTCTTTCCTTTCAAGCCTCCGTCCTGAAGAAATGACCCCAATAAAAGGGAAAAAAATGGATGTTAACCTTTATATTATTTATAATAGCTATAAGTAGAATTGAGGGGCACTCGATTGCTGCACATTTTGACATTCAGTTGATAACAAGAGCCAGGCACAGCATCTTATACCTGGAATTCAGCTACTTGGAAGACTGAGGTGAGGCGGGAAAGTTGCCTCAAGTTTGAGGCCAGTTTAGTTGGGCTACATAGTTAAGTCCCAGGCCAGCCTGGCCTACAATGTTAGGCCATGAGCATAAATAATAAGTCTGATACAAAAAAAAAGTGAAATAAAATTAATGTAGTCTCAATAGCTGGATTCCCATTATATGGGGGAATGAGCCAGGGACCACTGAACTATATCCCTAGCCCTTCCCTTTTATCTTTTGTTTTTTGAGAGTTTCTCTGTGTAGTAGAGCAGGCTGGCCCCGAGCTCAGAGTCTGCCTGCCTCTGCCTCCTAAAGGCCAGGATTAAAGGTGTGCTCCAGCTTCACTCAACTCCTTCTTAGCTTTTTAAAAATTTACTTTGAAACAGACTAAATTGACCGACCAGACCGGCTTTGAATTGTAATCCTCAGCTTTCTGTATTATTTCTAGTATTATATGTGTGCACCATTACATTGGATTTGAAATTATTTAAATCCATGTTCGTGAATGCTTACAATCCCAGGGTTTGGAGGCAAAGACAAGAGAAGGAGTTCAGGCCTACAGTTCAGGCCATCTCAAAAGAAAGAAAACCTGTTTAGGTTTTTCTTATTTTTTTTAGGTTTCATTTTCAAAAAAATAGTAACAAGAAGTAATTTACTTTCTTATTCTAAGGAAATGGCTCAGAGGTCACTTGCCGCCAAGCCCAATCTCCATAACCCACAGGGTACAAAGAGGGAACCGATTTCCACCACCTCTCTAACTTCCACCCCACACCAATCCCATACATACGCTGCATGTGTGCCCAGACACACACACAGTATACATGATAATCATGTTCGGTATTTGGGAGGTGTAGGCAATTCTTTCTGTGGCAGGATAACTGCTAGCGTGGTGACGTGACCTACAGACTGATTCTATTACAGAGAGGCCTTTGGTTTTGTTTTGGACTAGAGATTATATTCAGGACCCTTACACATGGTACTCTAGTCTGGCGCTAAGAACATTTCAGCATCTTTTTTATATTCAGACTTATTTGCTAAGATACACAAGCTTAAATTAAGGATCCTCCAAATTTTTATTCCTTCTTTGTAACTCAACAAATCTTTATCTTGACAGGCAAAATTAGGTGACCAAGGAAACCTCTCTGAATTGGTCAACCTCATCCTGACAGTGGCTGACGGAGACAGAGATGGCCAGGTCTCCTTAGGAGAAGCCAAGTCAGCATGGGCCCTTCTCCAGCTGAATGAGTTTCTTCTGATGGTCATACTTAAAGATAAAGAACACACCCCCAAACTAATGGGGTTCTGTGGTGACCTCTATGTGATGGAAAGTGTTGAATATACCTCTCTCTATGGAGTAAGTCTTCCATGGGTCATTGAACTTTTTATTCCATCTGGGTTCAGAAGGAGCATGGACCAGTTGTTCACGCCGTCTTGGCCTAGAAAGGCCAAGATAGCCATAGGACTTCTAGAATTTGTGGAGGATGTTTTCCATGGCCCCTATGGGAACTTTCTCATGTGTGACACTAGTGCCAAAAACCTAGGATACAATGAGAAATACGACTTGAAGATGGTGGATATGAGGAAAATTGTGCCAGAGACCAACCTAAAGGAACTTATTAAGGACCGCCACTGTGAGTCTGACCTGGACTGCGTCTACGGTACAGACTGCAGAACTAGCTGCGACCAGAGCACAATGAAATGCACGGCAGAAGTAATACAGCCAAACTTGGCAAAAGCATGTCAGCTGCTCAAGGACTACTTACTGCATGGTGCTCCCAGTGAAATCCGGGAAGAACTGGAAAAACAGCTCTATTCTTGTATCGCTCTCAAAGTCACAGCAAATCAAATGGAAATGGAACATTCTTTGATATTAAATAACCTAAAAACATTATTGTGGAAGAAAATTTCCTACATAAATGACTCTTAGTTCTTTTGGATAGCATTGTCATCATTCTGTCCCCGGGGCCTATGAAGCAAGTTATCACCTGAAATGTGTTGATAATAACGGCAGGTGTAGGGCCAAGCTATGTTCAGAACTCATCCCTGCCCTTTCGTAAGTACATTCACTATTAATATTTTGACTGAAATTAATGCTGTGAAAAGCCTCATTCCATAAAGAGTGAGTGCGCTGTTGATCTGTTGGCAAATCCCACTGCTGGACACGTCGTTTGCATTGATGCTGCTGTGTAAACAAGGACATTTATATATGAATTTACTAATGTTTTAGCATGGTAAAAAAGTCTGCACATTAACTCAAATTAAAAATGCCACACAGGTGAATTAAAATGACTCCTTTTATTAAAAGACTGGTTTGTTGTATTATACTTACACATTTTAACTTCACATGGAGTTTAGAAAGTTGGGAGCAACTCTTAGCTTCACACGACGTTGCCCCTGACTGGAATTAACCTGAAGATCTGATGGGGTCATCTTAGCATCAATCATCAGCCAACAGACATCACCTCATACTGGGGATGTACTTAAGTAACCATGTTCATGAAGCCCAGTACCATAAAGCAAATCCCGAACCACCTCAGCTGACAAATCAAGGCTATTTTGACAGCATAAATCAAAGACCATTTTTCCTTCTTGTGGAACCAAGAGTTACTTCTTAGGAGGCATAAATATATCACCCGGTTTTTTCCCATGTAAACCTTGTAAATTCAAGATTTAATACTGGACCCTTTTAAGTTATCTTCCTATGTATATTCAAGTTTGGCACATACCTTTCAAGATCTGCATAAAACTTAAGGCCAGGCACTGGTGGTGCACGCCTTTAATCCCCAGAACAGAGGCAAGCGGACCTCTGTGAGTTAGAGGCCAGCCTGGTCTAAAATATGAGTTCCAGGACAGTCAGAACTGATACAGAGAAACCCTGCCTTGAAAAACCAACCAACCAACAAACCAATAAATAAAAACTAAGCATAGAAAAGCCCACAACCCTTTTCTGTTCAGTTAAAATCTGGACTTGTCATTCTCAAATCTTCCAGCCATGGATTCACACTGTGGTTTGCTTTCAAGATTGACTCTGAGATATTTTCTTCTCATTGGAAGAACTATGTCCCAATGATCGTGGGTCTGTAGCTTACCAAATTTGACACACTAAAGGATAGCGATTCCTTCCAGGAAGACTAGAAACCCAAGAGCTCCGCTGGAATCCATGTAAGATGGCTTGTCTGGAAAAGTAACTAGCTTGTTTTGTTGAAGTGGGGAAATTGCCAGCGATATGGATATACTTGCCCTCCATCCCAGCAGAGGCAGTGGATCTGAGTCCCACGCCTTTGGTTTCATGACTTCATGCTATCCCCCAGTTTCATAATAACAGCTTAGCTAACACAGAAATGGCTGCTTGGTCATTAAGTTTATTATCTTTATGAAAAACTCTTCATAGAAAATTGCTTTAGCTGTCAGCAGCCCGCTCCTGAGCTCTGAGAAAGCTTGCCTTCTTTTGAGCAACCCGATCTTTCTTCTGGGCAAGAGACATTTTGGGACGGTTCCACCTGCAGGACAAAGTAAAAAATAAGAAAGGCAGGAATATAGCCCCCAAGTTCAGCTGAAAAGCAGCAGACTGTAACTGGATGGAGGTTGAAAACCTCATTATCTGGAGATGATTTTCATAGGTATGTCAATCAATCTCTCCTTTAGGTGACTGTACTCATGGCAATCCTCACGCCTCAACCTATTGAGTGCTGAGATCACTAACTGTGCCACCACACCCACCTCAAGTTTTAGCATATACTTAGCTGCAATGGCTAGATTCTCATTGCCATCCTCAGCCTACTGTTCAAGATTAGGGTGCAGACTGTTGTTCTGGGACAGAATGGGCACCTCAGTAGCCGTCTGAGGTCGGTGCATTGCTGTCACCACAACTGCTCTAGCAAACCTGGTTCCCTTAGCCGCTGCCACATCATGCAGAGCTAGTGATCGAGTTTGCACAACTGCACTGAAAAGTCTCACCAGCGAGATGAAACCTTATTACTAGAGAACAGTAGAACACAAACCTCTTCTTCTTCACTTCTCTCTTGGGCTTCTTCTCATAGACTGGATTCTCTCGTATAGCAGCATGGGCTTTCTTATACATCTCCTCCATCTGGAACAAAGCAAAGCAAACAGTATTTGCCTTCTCTTCAGACGCCCTATTAGTGAGGGACAGCACTTCAATCCTGCTCAATCTCAGCTCTCTAGAGAACTAAGCTGATGTTTCCTGCTTAAACACCAAAGTGTACCCTACCTCTTCCTCACAGCGTTCTCAGTGTCTACTGATGTTGAGAGGCAGCCATGCCCAGTCTACAACAAACTTATCTTTACAGAAATAAACCGTTACCCGCAATCTACTGCCTGACCTGCATTCTGTCAAGGTAAGGCACACACCCAGACCAAGGGCCTAAGATGGGAACTATACGGGGGTAAGGAAGGTCCACTGACAACTGAGCCAGTGAAAGGACACAGAAAGGGGAAAGGAGGCCCCACCAAATCTAGAAACCAGTTTCTTATCTCATATATTCCAGGTTTATATTCTACTTTTACATGACAAGCTTTTTAAAGCAATTCCCAGCACTGAAGACATACTCTGCCATTTATTCTTATGGGGTAGTTAGTACAGTCTCTAGAACCTCAGACCTTACCTATTTGATTAAATTTTGTTGCTGGAAACTTGATTCTAAACTTGTTTAAAAAAAATAAAGCTCCTCCAAAGCAACAGAGAAACCCTGTCTCACCCCCCTCCCCGTCAAAAAAACAAAAACAAACTCAAGGTTGTAATCCTGAATGTGTAGTATTAACTCCAGCCCCCTTTTAAGAAGGGGTGTTCAAAAGCCAGGTGGAGGTGCATACCTTTAATCCTACCACTCAAGAGGCAGAGGCAGGCAGATCTCTGTGAGGCCAGCCTGGTCTACAGAGTGAGTTTCAGGACAGCCAGGGCTATAGAGAAACCCTGTCTTAAAAAACAAAACAAAACAAAACCAAACAACCACCACAAAAAAAATTTCTTGGCTGAATGTGGTAGCCTAGGCCTGTAATCCCAGTACCTTATATGCTGAGATTCCATCTCAGAAAATAAGCCCCCCCACTTCACAGTCCACCATAGCTAGAAAGTCTGCCTGAACAACGTAAACAACCTGGTTCTTCCCAACAGAGAACACAGCTTCCCATATGTAGATGAGGGGGCCATTTAGGTGAATCATGTCTGCAGAGAATAATACAAGAACACAGGAAGAGAATGCTGCAGATAAAATGAACTACCGGAGTTAGCGCTGGTGGCCTTTAATCCCAGCACTTGAGGCAGAGCCAGGCAGATTTCTGGGAGTTCAAGGCCAACCTGGTCTCTGGAGTGTTAGGAAAGGCTCCAAGAGCCACACAGAGAAACCCTGTCATAGAAAACAAAACAAAAAAAGCCTGGGATGGAAGCTCAGTGGTTGAGCACATATGTTTTGCCCTTCAAAAACCTGGGTTTAATCCTGAATACCACAAAATTAAAAAATACTAGCCAAAAAGCACTGTAGCACGAACACAGGAAGCTACTAAGAAATATGCATCTCGGGGCTGGAGAGATGGCTCAGAAATCCTAAACTCAATTCTAAGCAACCACATGATGGTTCACAACCAACTACAATGGGATCTGATGTTCGTGGTTATGCAGGCATAACCAGGTAACGCACGATATATATGTATAACATAATCTTTTAAAAAAATGCACCTAAAGCCCAGGAATGTGATGTTTTGAGCAAACATAAGTAGGTCAATACAAGACCCAGAAAAAGCCTGCAGAAGCACAACCACCGTCTTAAAAGCTCAAGCTGTGAATTTTAAGTTTCAAATGACATCCAAAGCATACAACCACAGAAAATGGTGCTTCCCAACCCATACTTTATAGTTACAATAGCTTAGTAATGGTGTGATGTGCTCTCTATAACACACACACACACACACACACACACTTTTCTTTTTGTTTTCGAGACAGGAACTAGCTCTGGAGACCAGGTTGGCCACGGATGCACCTGTGTCTTATTCCAGTGAGTTAATCTGCATCATCCTTGATTTCTAATACCAAATTCACTCTTGCAAACACAATACCTCCTCTGACCCCTGCTTTTGCAAACAACCTGTACAGCTCCCCAGGATTAATAAACTCTAAAATATATTTTTTCATTCCATCCAAAAATCAAAACGTTAGTCACAGTAGGGCATGGCAGTACATGCCTTGAACTCCAATACTAGGGTAGGGTTTGGGAGGTAGAAGCAGGAGTATCTTAAGTTCAAAGACAATCCTGGTTGAATATCAACTTCCCTGGTTATGTTAAGGAGAAAGTGAAGCCTGGTAAAGACAAACTAAAGAATGAATAATGAGAAACAGCAGACCTGTTCTGGGACAGAATGGGCCCTCAGGGCATCCGAGGTCGGTGCATTGCTGTCACCACAATTGCTCTAGCAAACCTGGTTCCCTTAGCCGCTGCCACATCATGCAGAGCTAGTGATAGAGTTTGCACAACTGCACTGAAAGTCTGACCAGCGAGATGAGGCAAGCAGTGCTGGAACCACTCCCGCTACCGTGTTTGCACCCAAGACTGGAGATCCTGGAAGCCCACTCACATAAAGTACCTACCTTCCCACCCAATGCTAACTCTACTTAAGGCAGTAGCAGCCCAGGAGCCTATCTATCCACCCAGAGAAACATGCAACCTTCCTTTCTGCAACTGAAAGAAACCTCAGTTAAGATTACTACCCACTGAAACAAGCATTTGCTCAAGTGAACAGGCATGTTCAGGTAAATTTTTACCATGTCTGGAGTAACGTTGTTCTTTATGTACTGAGAGAACTGTTTCTTGTAAGCATCTTCATCTTCCTCCATTAGGTAGCGCATGTAGTCTGCAACATTCTGACCCATGATGTGCTTACGATGTACCTCTGCGTTGAACTCCTTGCTTTCAGAATCATAACCAGGGAATCGTTTGGTACTAAAATGAAATTTTCATGTTTTAGTGTACACACAAGAAACTACTACATTCCCAGGAATTCACTTCAAGAGCTGCCATCAGTCCCGTCTTGAAACAATTATTGCATCATATGCAATCAAAGGACCAACTACTAACTGCTCAGTTAGCAGGATGTCATCACTAGCAGCTCATCTCTGAATTCCACAAGATAAAGACTCCATAAACAAATTTGCTTTTCATCTTCAGGGTAGTCTCTGGCCATTCTCTTGTCTCCCAAGCATTTACATAGCCAGATCAGCACTTTTTTGATTCTTTCGATTTTGACAAGGTTTCTGTGTGTAGCTTTGGAGCCTGTCCTGGCACTAGCTCTGCAGACCAGTCTGGCCTCCAACTCAGAGATAGATCCACCTGCCTTGCTGGGCTTTTGAACAGTCACCAGTATTTTCTAGACATGTTTCCCCGCCCACTGGCACAGGAAGCAGCCCCAAAACTCATCCCTCAAATCCTTTTATTTCTCAGTACCTAGGATAAGAGGAATTAGTGATTTGTCTAAAGTCACAATGAAGATATTCAAGGAGCAATTTATAAGCCAATAAGTCATCTACTTGACAAAAATCACACCAACTTCAAGAAACTACAAGTTAATCTACTTAATTTCCAAGAATGCCCAGCAATCTTAATTAATGGCTGGAGGCTTTGTTTCTAAATGTATATTCTAAAAGCCACATTTTCCCCCAACTCAATAAACCAACTTTTACTCTGACCAGAAAAAGAAAATGCACAGGGCTAGGCAGTGGTGACACAAGCCTTTAATGCCAACACTCAGGAAGCAGAGGCAGATTATCACCTCAAGTTCCAGAGTAGCTTGGGCTAGAGAGCGAGACCTTGTCTCCTCTTTTCTAATGCAGGTTACAGTCCCTTCCTGTGCAGTTATCTAACATCAGCAGGAACAGAATCATTGTCCCCGCCCAATCATTAACAGGAAATACTGGAGTCGAGGCAGAAACCTCCAATACGATTTATTACCTATGAGGAATAGACAAGCCTCCATCCACAGCTCCCTTCAGGGCCCCGAAAACTTTATTGCCAGTTGTAGTTCGAGCAAGACCAGCATCCAAATAGCAAGTGAAGGCCCCAGGCTGACCATCGATGCTTTCCACATTGTATTCATCTCCAGTCACCTCCACTTGGCCTTCATAGATCTTGTCCATACCAAACCTATTGAGAAGCTAAGAACAGAGAAGGCAACATAAAAACCCATCACAATGCACTCAAACCACCCTAAATGTATTTCATCTAACAATGGAACAATTTGATCCTTACATTTACTTGTGTGATTTTTTTATTTCTTCAGTCGTATTTGGCTACAATTTCAACATCTTCGGATGTAGTTTTATTAGATTTTAGGTAGGATCCCAGGCTGAAAGGAACAACTGTCTGCAGCTCTGCCGTGTAACGTCTTAATTTGGGCTACTCCTCTGCCGGTACATTATCTGGCTACGGCTTCACCATAAGCCAAGACCTCACTAAGATGTTTTTACCTATCATAGATAGCAACCTTCCCCCTACAAAAGTATATTTTAGCAACCCAGGATGATGGGGTCAACATTGACACATTGCTTGCCGACTACACTGCAAAACAGTCAAAATTGAGAGCACCAAAATAAGGCAGATTTTCCTATTTCCACCTCCTACTAGTAGACCCTGTCAATCACGTAGAAAAGCGAAACAAAAAACATGTTAATGTCCACCCTCCAAAGAGGGGAGGATATTTTCTTAAATCTTAATGTCTAAATAAACTACCTGTGATAGATATCTCATCAAATCAGATTCTAAGGATCTAAGCAGAACACTCCTGGCCTACATTTTAAATGCAGGCTGCTAGAAGATTCACACCTCTAGGTAGCTGGGTCTTTGCTGGCCAACTAGCCATTCTCAAAGTGACTTTTCAAATTCAAGATTAAAAGCTAAGTTCTGGGCTGTGAGACAGCTCACTGGGTAAAGATACTTTGCTGCCCACCCCTGGAACACACGGTTAGAAGAGAACCAGCCCATGCAGGTGTCCTCTGACCGCCAGTGTGCTGTGGTAGGAGTGTGCCCCACTAATACACACAAATAAACACATAACATCAGCTCTCGGAGGCTTTAAACAATCTGAAATACTCAAACTACACCCAATGGATAGCAAACCGCAGACCCCACCACTGAAGAAAACTATCAGACAGAGCTGGTCTAGACAGATCCAGAAGTCACAGGTGACACACCCTGCGGGCCAACAGCAGGCCGGTACAATAGGCGGCAGCATAGTTTGTCAGGCCAACTTTCACTCCGTATTTCGGCAGCTCGTGTGCGTAGGCGGCGCAGACTATCATGTCCCCCTCTATACGGGCATAGGCAATCTGCAGGGAGAAAAAAACAGGTTAGTATTTGTTGTTCCAGTACCAGTCCCACCTAAGTCCTTTTACCAAGACGAGGGAGGGAGAAGAGACATCTATGAACATCTATGTGTATGTGGACACCCTCACCCACATCTAGAAGATACCACTTTAGAACTACACAGAAATTTAGCAAAAAACACAGTATGGCTAAAACACACAATACACGTTAGAACTCAGTTACAATTACAAAAAATAAGTAAATAAAAGTCAGGGCTGTGGTGCCAAATGCATTGGAGGCAGAGGTAGGTAGATCTCTGTGAGTTCAGGCCAGCCTGGTCTACAAAGTGAGTTCCAGAACAGCCAAGGAGACACATATTCTGTCTCAAATCTCCCAACCCCAAAAATCAAGTAAAAAACAACCCCCCCCCCAACTCTTAAAATATCCTGTAGGCTAAATTCAACTAAGCCTTAGCTAGGTGGTGCTCAGTTATCAGAACATAGACAACCCTCCCTTCGCAGTCAATAAATGTGCATAGAAAGCAAGCGCACTGCCGGGTGGTGGTGGCGCACGCCTTTAATCCCAGCACTCGGGAGGCAGAGGCAGGTGGATCTCTGTGAGTTCGAGGTCAGCCTGGTCTACAAGAGCTAGTTCCAGGACAGGCTCCAAAACCAGAGAAACCCTGTCTTAAAAAACAAACAAACAAACAAACAAAAAAAAAGAAAGCAAGTGCACCCAGCCAGCAAATTTCAGCTACCCAGAACTTACGTGCAAGTTCTGAATACAGGAACTGCCATTTCTTAGAGGGCTTCCTCACATTTTTTGTACATTTTAAAACCCATTTCAAACAGAAATAACAAGCTGGCTTTTCAGTCCAGGACCTTACTGTACAGCCAGGTGGTGATCCTGCTTGTCAGCATCGCCTTTAACAATGGGGGCTGGAGACGGCTCCAGTGGCCACACTGCTCTGGCAGAGCCAGGCACAATTCCCAGCACCCACATGGTATCTCACAACTGTCTGTAACTCTAGTTCCAGGGCACCCAACATCCTCATGCAGGAAAAACACCAGCGGTCATTAAATAATAGTAATAAAAAAGTGGGCCTTCCTACTTTGAAACGATTACCAGCTTCTTTAATGAGTCAAGTGGCACGGGGTTAGAGCCAGGAGCTTGTGTATGACAAACTCCGCAGGAGTAATTCAGAGACTAGACCACATGCAAACCTGCTTCCCCAGCCTTTCTCCCGAACTCAATTAAAACTGGGTCAGGATTTCCAAACCTGCCCAAAAATAGCAACATTTTTTTTTGAGACAGTATTTCTCTGTAGCTTTGGTGCCTGTTCTGGAACTAGCTCTTGTAGACCAGGCTGGCCTCGAACTCAGAGATCTGCCTGCTGGGATTAAAGGCGTGTGTGGCCACCGCCCAGCCAAATAGCAATTTTGAAGCCTCAGCTTTAAACCTAACTCCAAGAAAACCTTCTCTATCACAGAGACTAGAGTTGTAGCGTCTGATCACACAAAGCTCAAACTCACCTGGCAGATGATGTCTCTGTTAGTTACACGAACTATCATCCTGTATTTGGGTGTGTTGTACTTATTTTTGTCTTGGATCACTAATCGTTTCCGAGCATAGTAGTCGGTTTTACCCTCTGCAAGCACAAAAAAAATTTAAGACAGATATTCCACCACAAAGCTGATTCAGAAACAAGACCAGGAGAAAAGCTGCTCATACCTCGCCGCCTTCTAAATCTCACTTGGTATCTCTTGAAGTAGGCCTTGTTCTTGACAACTTTCACAAACCCCTTTAAAGGGAAAAAAAAAAAGGTCATCAGTGTTCTACTAAATGTTTCAATGTTATTTTTCAAGCAGGCTGTCACTATGTAGCCCAAGACGACCTAGAATTTGATAAGCTCCTGAGTGCTAAGTTAATAGACTCCAATCACTTTGCTTTAGTCTGTACTTCTGACCTGAGTTAACTGTGTAACAATAACATTCAAAAGCAAATTAATACAACTGTCAACTTGTAGCATGATTCCAGACTGGAATCTACAACCACTCTGGAGCAGTGGCTCTCAGCCTTCCTAATGCCATGACCCTTTAACACGGTTCCTCACGCTACTTCATAACTGTAATTTTGCTGTTAGGAATAGTAATGTAAATATCCAGTATGCAACCCCAACCCACAGGCTGAGATCGTGCAAACACATAACCAAGCATCAGAAAAGCTGTAAAGGTGGATGCAAAGGCAAGGCCCGAGACTCAGCCCTCCACAGCTGCGGGATCCTACTTCTACTTAGCAGGTATAAACTCATTTTCGTATTCTCTTTAAACACCCTTTCAACTCCTTTGCTTGCTTCCTCGTGAACCGGTACCAATTGATCCCTGTGCCAACCTGGGAAGCATCACCCTGGACAGCAATCTGTGCTGAAAACCGGGCACCTCACCTCGAGAATTTAACCTCACAATTATCACTTCCTCCCTGCGTTTGGTGAAGACCTCAACTGAGTGCCTCGGTGCTCCGGGACGGCGTACACTCCGCGGTCACTCGCACAGGGCAACGCTACCTACACCCTCAGTCCACCTCACAAGTCCGATTTCAGCAAACACACCGAAAACGAGGACCAGGCAGTAGCTAGGAAGGGGTTAAGAGCCCCCAAATCCCAAATGACGCGTGTTCCCTTCCGGGATCAGGAGTGCCACGGCGCCCAGCCTCCGCTGACAATCCCGGTTTAAAGGCCACTTCCTCGGACCGAGTCGGGCTTTCGCCCTGCAGCCCTCGGGACGCCCCGAGAGGCGGCCGGGATCGACCGGGGCGCCCGCCCCAGCAAGCCGCGTCCCGGGCACCCAACGCCACAGCCCCTCCCCCCGGCAGCCATGAAGGCCACGCTAGGAGCGGCGGCCGCACAGCCGAGAATCGAGTGCCATCTGCGCCCGCGCTGCACGGGACGGGCCCCGCGCGGGCATCGGCGAGAGCAGGGGCCCCGGCCCCGTGCAGGCGCCGCCCTGAGCCCCCGATGCCCACTCACCATGGTGCGGAGCAGAAACCCGCAATCGCGGCTCCACGCAGACCTGCGGGCCCGGCGGCGCTAGGGGTAAAAAAGACCGGAGTGTCGTGCGCATGCGCAGTATGTATCGCCGCCAAGACGCCGGCGACGTGGGGAAGAAAGCTGCCGGGGCCGTCAAGGCGCTCGGTCCGCCTCCCCCTGCTGGCCGGAGGATGAATGTCAGGGTTTGGTTTGGGGTTTTTTTTTTTTTTTTTTTTTTTTTTTTTTTGCCTTGTCTCAACCCACAAGCAGGATTGAGAACAGGGAATACAGGTTTTGGATTTTTTTTTTTTTCTCTAGGACGTTTTTAATCACGCACACACAGAGAAATACATATATATTTTTCCCCCTAAGGCAGGAAAGGATAAAATTAAGTTAAATAAAAATAAATTTACGCTGAAATCATGCCTTCCCATGACTTGGATTACTTCTGGAGTATTCATCTAAACTCGCAGCACACAGGGCCAACAGGAAGCCGGCCCGAGAGCCCCAAGCTTGAGTTAGGAGAGAGTTCCCTGTCCTGGCATCTTCTTCCCGCGCCACTTGTTCTCCAGCACGTGACGGAGTGCGGATCTCCAGTCAGTTCTTAGTTACCAGGTAAAAACAAAACGAACCCCACCGCACTATCCTGCTGCACTTCCGTTGTCTCCCGGTTCCTGACATCGTCGTTCGTTTTCTCTCCCTCCAGCACTCTGAGTTTATCTAAGCCCCCTTCCTCGAAAGTTTTCCTCTTAGGGCTGGGGAGGTAGCTTAGTGCTGCTGTCTCCACACGTGGAAGGGACAGGAAGGAGGATCCGAAAAAGGTGCAAGGTTAACCTGGGCTGCATAGTGAATGGGAAGCCAGCCTGAGTTGCTGATACCTGAGGGGGGAAAATGTAAACAATTATTTAAACATGTGAAAAAAAACGGTTATATATAAGAGTGAGAACTGTAAACGCAACGAGAATGCAATCTGAAACAAATTCTATATGCCCAAGATTTATTTTATATTATATTATTTATACACACACACACACAAAATGTTCTGTCTAAGCCGGGCGGTGGTGGCGCACGCCTTTAATCCCAGCACTCGGGAGGCAGAGGCAGGCGATCTCTGAGTTCGAGGCCAGCCAGGGCTACAAAACGACATTCTCTCTCTCTCTCTCTCTCTCTCTCTCTCTCTCTCTCTTTCTCTCTCTCCTACCCTCCCTCTCTCTCCCACTCTCCCTCTCCCTCTTCCTCTCTCCCCCCTTTTCTTCTTCTTCTTTTTTTTTACATATATTTATTTTGTTGGGAGTGGGCCATGTATGCCATGGCCAACATGTGGAAGTCAGAAGACAACTTTCAAGCAATACTCAATCATTTCCTTCCACATAGCTCTTCTGATCAGGCCCAGTGACAAGGGTGTTTATCTGCTGAGCCATCTCCTTCCTGTTCCTGCATTGAGTCAGGTGCTCAGTGTGTAGCTCAGGCTGGCTTCAAACTTATAATAATCCTTTGCCTCTCCCTGAGTCCTGAGGTCAGAGGTCAAACCATACCCAACTAAATTTAATTACTTTTTTTTTTAAATTTTTTTATTAAGTATATAGTGTTCTGTCTGCATATATGCCTACTCGCCAGAAGGGGGCACTAGATCTCATTACAGATGGTTGTGAGCCACCATGTGATTGCTGGGAATTGAACTCAGGACCTCAGGAAGAGCAGTCAGTGCTCTTAACCTCTGAGCCATCTCTCCAGCCCCTAAATTTAATTACTTTTAAAAGTCAGATCTGTTTTGGTTTTGAACACTTGCATTGACATAATTCAGAGCAAGCAATAGTACCTAAGTAGATAAATTCATTTTTCTGAAGAGACTGATGTGCTCCTGATTTGAGCACCTTTATTGTCTCTCTGTGTGTATGTATATGAGTGTAAGCTTAACTGTGACATATGTGTGTGGGTGTGCACACGCAAAGGCTTTAAGAGGATGCTGGGTGTCTTCCTCTGTTACTCTCTACCTTAGACCAGGCTGGCCTTGAACTCAGAGACCCACCTGCCTCTGCCTCCTGAGTACTGGGACTAAAAGTGTGTGCCACCACTGCCCAGCCCCTACCTTATTCTTCTGAGGCAGAGTCTCTTGCTGAACATGGAACTTAACTTTTTTTTTGTGGCTGGGCTGACAGCAAAGGCCAGTTTTCTTCTTGTCTCTGTCCCCACGGTGCTGAGGTTACAGGAATGCCTGAGACCATACCTGGTTCCAGGTTCAGGCTCAGTAAGAGACTACCTCAAAAGGATATGGTAGAGAGTAATACAGGAAGACGTCAGCACCCTGATAGCCTCTGTGTGTGCACGTCACATACATAAGACACACTTACGCTTACACAAACTAGCAAGGCAGTGAAGGTGCCCAAATAAATAGCAAGTTAGTCTTTTCATAAAAATGAACTTTGAGGACCTAGGTTCCACTACAAGTAACAAATAAACTGGTCATGAAAGTCATCTCTAATCCCAGCCCTGGGGAGTGGAGGCAGGCAGGTCATTCAGGGAGACCTCTGGCTACACTGGGAATTAAAAGCCATTCTGGGCAAGTGACAAAACAAAACAAAAAGTGTGTTGTGCTATTTAGATATGACACTTTGTTATTTAAAAATCAACCCTTCCCCCCAAAAAGAATCTTTCCCACAGGGATGGAGAAATGATTCAAAGTTAAGAGTAGTCACTGGTTCGATTCCCAGTACCCACACAGTGGCTCACAACACCCTCTCCTGACAGGCCACCGTGGTCATGCATGCATGAAGTGCACAGTCATACATACTGGCAGAATAAAAGTAATTTTTTAAAAAAAGAATCTTCTGCATTCATTTTAGAAAGAAAGAATTCCAGAATTTAATCTTTTTCTCTTGTTAAAAAAAAATAAAAGTATTACTCAAGTCCTGCTACATGCAAAAGCAGTTTTCAAATGTCAACATCAGAAACCAAAGTCTTCATGACCTTCAGAAACTCTGTTTTGAGGCCACAGCACAAGAAATCTGCGTTAGCTTTTTTACCAGGGGCCTAGAAGGTGTCAACTCCAGAGGAGATGCTTAGAGTTTCTGGTTCTCAGCGTGCTCAGGGTTAGGCGTGGCCGTAACTATGTTAGGCGTGGCCGTAAGTGTTGCTTTTGTTTCATAATCCTACAGTATTTAACAATGGACTTTTTTCTTTATATTTGTTTTGCGTATGGCTTTGTAAAGTTTGAGGCTGGGGCAAGATGCTTTTCTCCTGCCTGGGTCAAAGGAGGTTCTTCTTGGAAACTTATACACGCCAGAGATTCCAGGCTGTAAAACATCTGTGCTGTCCTATGTCTGCTGGACTTTCACTGACTTCTCTTGATCTATTGTTGATCTCAGTGACTCAGACTTGAGTGGAAAAAAGAAAATGGGTCTCTTGGGTTTTTGTATATTCAAAATAGCATAAGCAAATGTACAACTCAGTGTTAGGGCACTTCCCTAGCGTGTGTGGAGCCCTGGGCTTGATCTATACCACTACCCTCTGTCCTGGCGAGTTTTATGTCAACACGACACAGGCAAGAATCAGCAGAAGGAGGGGTCCTCAATGGAAAAGATGTCTCCCTAAGATCCAGCTACAGGGCCTTGTTGTAATTCAAGACAAGGTCTTGAATGCTATTTGTGATAGAAGATGGAAGGCCTTGAACTTCTGATCCTCCTGCTTCTGCCTCCTAAATGCCAGGATTATAGGCATCTCTGTTTTAAGAGAGGTTGAGGTGTTGTGTGAGAGACTCCCTGCAGAGATAGCACACACACACATCTGTTTCACTCAAAAGGGAACCAGAACAAAGTAACAACTGCATTGTGCTGGATAGTTTTATGTGCTGGATGGTTAGAGTCATCAGAGGGAAGGGAGCCTCAGCTGAGAAAATGCCGCCTTAAGATTGAACTGCACCATATTGAACTCGAGTTGGAAGAGGCGAGTCCGGTCCCGGTCGCCCCCAGCCTGACTCCGGCCGATGTAGCCGCCGCCGGTGGGGGGGGGGGTGAGGGCGGGGGCGGGGGGGTGGGGGGGGGCATGATCCAAGGAATCAGAACAGTTGAGGAAACTGTTTATTGGTGGTCTGAGCTTTGAAACCAGATGATAGCTTAAGAGAACATTTTGAGAAATGGGGCACACTTACAGATTGTGTGGTAATGAGAGATCCCCAAACAAAACGTTCCAGGGGCTTTGGTTTTGTGACCTACTCTTGTGTTGAAGAGGTGGATGCTGCAATGTGTGCTCGGCCATTGTGTGCTGGGCGTGTGGTGGAACCAAAGAGAGCCGTTTCTAGAGAGGATTCTGTAAAGCCTGGTGCCCATTTAACAGTGAAGAAAATCTTTGTTGGTGGTAGGAAAGAGGACACAGAAGAGTATAACCTGAGAGACTACTTTGAAAGGTATGGCAAGATTGAAACCATAGGGCTGGAGAGATGGCTCAGAGGTTAAGAGCATTGCCTGCTCTTCCAAAGGTCCTGAGTTCAATTCCCAGCAACCACATGGTGGCTCACAACCATCTGTAATGGGGTCTGGTGCCCTCTTCTGGCCTGCAGGTATACACACAGACAGAATATTGCATACTAAATAAATAAATAAATATTTTTTTAAAAAAAGATTGAAACCATAGAAGTTATGGAAGACAGGCAGGGTGGGAAAAAGAGAGGATTTGCTTTTGTGACTTTTGATGACCACGACACAGTTGATAAAATTGTTGTTCAGAAATACCACACTATTAATGGGCATAATTGTGAAGTGAAAAAGGCCCTTTCTAAACAAGAGATGCAGTCTGCTGGATCACAGAGAGGCCGTGGAGGTGGATCTGGCAATTTTATGGGTCGTGGAGGGAACTTTGGAGGTGGTGGAGGTAATTTTGGTCATGGTGGAAACTTTGGTGGAAGAGGAGGCTATGGTGGTGGAGGAGGTGGCAGCAGAGGTAGTTATGGAGGTGGTGATGGTGGCAACTATGGTGGTGGTCCTGGTCACAGCAGTAGAGGAGGCTATGGTGGTGGTGGGCCAGGCTATGGAAACCAAGGTGGATATGATGGTGGTGGAGGAGGAGGATATGACGGTTACAATGAAGGAGGAAAT